GGCTTTCATTTTCCATTCTAGGATGGTTTTAAAATTCTCTCTTTTCACGCTAGATATTTAAATGTGGTGTCAAATGTTCTCTTAAGGCGTAAGGAACTTAATAGTGTATTTGAAATAACAGAGTATTTTAATTTTAAAAATCCATTATTCGACCTACTATATAGCATGTGAGACTGGCAATGTATGCAATGTATGCAAACAATAATGACTAGAATAAGGTGTAGGCTTTATCACTGTGGTGGCAATCTATTCTGGGACTTGACAGGTCATTCAATTATATCTTCTACACTTAATTTGTCGACATTTTTCTACAGAAAGTTCACACCTTTTTTTTATCAAAATCGAGTTGTTTTCATCGACATAATTATCTATAAACAGTATTTGCTCAGTATTTTGGGCAGTGATAGTAAATCAAAGCTCTGCCTCTATATGTATTCAACTGCAAAAAATCGTTAGCTCCCTTCTGTACCGTAGTTATGACCCTAGCAAAACAAATTACTCTTTTAAAAAAACAAGTTAAGCTATTAGGAAAAACAAATGTAAATAAAATACATCAATAGTAAACTTTTGAAAAACCATCAGTTGTTTATATATGTTACATGAAATATTTATTTTAAACAAATGTAAACTGTATCCTTGCGAATGATGTAAAAGCGGAAAGTTTCCATAAATATGACAATCAAATTATCTCATATATACTAAAAACAGCCTTATTTAGATCAAGTTTATCATCGAATATTTTTTTTAAAGCAAATTCAACAGTTCTATGTAATTCCAATTTCGTTTGGCAATAATATGAACATTTTGGACACCAGCGTCCCTTGGTCCTCAAAGGGTTAATCACGCTATTAAAAAGAAAGAGCACATTTTTTCTAGCTACCTTTTTTACTATAAACACTTTGCTTTACAAGCGCCACTTCTATTAGATAAATTCAGAATGGTTAAAAACTGGTTAGTATGAGTCCAAAGGATCAGCACATACATATGAACTTAAATGTATCGAATAAGTTAAGTTAAATAATAGAAAATACTGTGGGGAGCTTTTGAAACAGATACTTTTATATGAATATTGTTTTATTCATTTACCTGCTTTGAGGTGTGAGCAATACAGTTATCTAACCCATAATAATATATTATTGTTCTGATAATAAATATTTTAAGAACACAAAATACAATAATTAATACAAAAAAGTCATGAACAATAAATTAGTTGAAACAAATAATAGAGCTGTAAAAAATATGCTGTAATCTAATATTTAAAATGTTCCATCTATTACTATTTCATTTAGTTTTTCTTATATCAAATGAAATCGTAATTATAAAAATTATTTTGATAACGTATTCCTTTTTTTTTACTTTCTCGTATATAAGAAGTATAGAGAAAGTCTTGTAATCGAGCAAAAAAAAAATCGAGATTTTTACAAATCTCGACGTTTTACACCTCACTGATAAGGAAAAACATATTTTTGCAATCTTGTCCGTATGTCTGTGTGTCTGAGTGTGTGTGTGTGTGTGTGTGTCTATCCGTGTGTAAACACGATAACTTGAGTAATGTTACAGCTAGGTTGATGAAATTTCATACATAAGTATTTTATCAAAATCGTAGACCCGTATCAACTTTTGAGCGATTTCCGATAACCGAAAGTGGTACTTTTTCTACTTTGAATTTTTCAAAAGCCTATAACTTGAGTACTATTTCAGATAGTACTAAATTACGCTATTTCCGATTTCTCAAAAAAAAAAAACGCATGTAAATTTATAAGGTACTAATAATATTGCGCATTATTATGCACATTTTGTTTTGGCGTTCGCTTGGGGCGCAATTCTTTGTTCTATGAGATTCTATTCTATTTTTAAAAGTTTAAGTAATTAAAAATCATGTATATATTACAAGTTATATAAGAATATTCGAGAAAGTTTATGGGATATCACTTCCGGTTTATTTTAATAATCTTTCATTTGAGATGGTGTTAGGCCATTAGATGCCTTTTATCCTTCGCAGGCATTTGGAAAAAAGAGTTCATCAATCCGAGGGTGGTAAATTTTCCTCTCCAGCATTCGATGCCATAAAATATTGCGCTTAGGGATTTACTTTGTAATTTTTTCTTTTTGTCAGTAATGGCCGTGTTTTTCTTTTTGACAAAGACAACACCTTCTTCAGACAAACTAAATAACGAGTATATATCATTGTCATCTAAAATCCATTAATTTTTATTCTAGTTGTTACATACATTGACACTAAATCTATTTAATCTGCATCTATTGTTTCAGACATTTAGATGGAAATTGTATGTTTATCAGGTATTCTTCCTCGTATCTCAAAACTGCGTCTGACGGTTGTTTGTGTACTATGGCTGCATCTTCCCCCGTCCCCTACCCCAACTTCAATATAAAATAAAAGTTCTATTACAAAATGTGCGGATCGATCAAATAACTACACACACAAGTTGCTATTTTTAAACAATCCTTATGTTCTATGTTATTTTAACAATATTTTAACGATCTTGGCTACTCAACATGTTGTGTTCTTTTTGCCACATTTACAATACAATTGTGTTTCGTTCGATTTATGTGAGGATTATTTTACACAAAAGTAAAGCGAAAATAACTTGGAGAAAAATTCAAATATTAAGTAATATTTAAATGAGATTTTACTTGAATCTCTCTTTGTTAATGACATCTAAAATCGAATATTAACTAATTCTTAATATTATTTTACTTGAATCTATCTTTGTTAATGGTCGAATTCAGGCAAAATTCTCTTGAAAAAAAAGAGACTTCCGTGTAAATGACTTTTAAGCGTGTGTCGTAATACTCATTTTTAATAAACAAATACTTAATGTGTGGATAAAACTCCCCATAAAATCATTGGTAGGTAATAGAACCATCAGTTGTAAAAATGACCAACCGTTTGTTTGTTGTCGATACAATCACTCCTGATACTCCCCTACCACAAATTCGATCAAAACTTGGAGCATTCCTTGTATTCAGGTATTTTGAGTTTATATATTGTGCTCCAATTCGTTATTTTCCAGTATCGAGTCAGCGAGAAGTAATAATATTAAATGCTAAATCAAATACCCTTACTAAACCCAATGTTTTATTACTGTTTTGATTGTTAGTCTTTGGTTATCACTTGGATTGCTGGAGTTGTGGTATAGTTTGGCGATCAGAGAAATAAATGTGCAGGGGATTCTAAAGTGTTTCATAGTTTTCCATACTAATGACCTGTCAATAGGTCGCCCATAACAAGCAATTTTTTTAAAAATCTATAACAAGTGAATGTAGAAATTTATAAAAAAAAATTACCGTGTGTATAAAACTCTCCATAAAATCCTTTGTATGTCCCAGAAGCATCTGTTTTGAAAGTGACCAACAGGTTGTTTGTGGACGATACAATCACATCTGTGACTCTCCAACCACAGACTTTCTTAGAACTTTGAACATTCTTACTATCCCCGTCATACACGGTGATATAGTCGTAATCACAATTTCCTATGTCCATAAAGGATATGCTACAAAACAAAATACATGTTAAGAAGTGCTTAGATTTTTCTACAATGTCATTTACGTATTTGATTACGCTTTAATTTAATGTAAGTCGGATATTGACCTACTTTAAAATGAGACGGGTATCAGCATGAGTTGATAAGGTCCATGTAAATTCCTGATAATTCAAATATCGAAAGGGATATCCCGGGCTTGCCAACTTGCCTGACTCAAAAAGTTCACAATGTCTATCTGTTTTACGTGATGGAAATAAATCAATGTACAAAAAATACACTAATAAAATCTGAATACATTGCACATTCTATATGCTGTGACGTAGATGTCTGTACGAAAGTGTATGGGCACGGAAGAGTGTTAACAGATGATGAAAAAATAAAAAAATTAAAATAAGTCTAGTACAAGAAAACATAAAAACAAGGTAATGAAAAAAGCTCGGGAGCCGCCGTTAAGTGTGGCGCCCAACACACGGGCTCGACGCGGGTAGCTTAACATTATTTCTTTACTCGATCAAAAAACCTATGACACTGTATGTATAACTGTTAGTGGAAAGTGTGGCGCTAGCCTATCTCGGTTCGTAGGAGATGTGGAAACAATAATTTTAGTATGCTCAAAGAATGAGCGGTCGTACGATATGTGAACATAGTTAATGGACAGAGGTAGTCTACATTCTTGTTCGCATACCCCCTATTGTGTTCGGGTTTCCAATGCATTCACTGACCCGATATAAATCAACCTGCGCTGTCAAACCGACCGAGAAACCGATTAATCACTGCGCGGCGCCTGTTTGCTGGCGGATCCATGCCTGCCGGGTGTCGTTAATAACTAAAAAAAAACAAATGTAAATTTATAAAGTACTAATAATATTGCGCACTATTATGCACATTTTGTTTTGGCGTTCGCTTGGTGCGCAATTCTTTTTTCTATGAGATTCTATTCTATTTTTAAAAGTTTAAGTAATTAAAAATCATGTCTATATTCCAAGTTATATAAGAATATTCAAGAAAGTTTAAGAGAGATCACTCCCGGTTTATTTAGATAGATAATTGAAATTTGACATATAAGTAAAACATATGTATCTTAGCCTTCTGTCTAATTTCGATTTATTTTCGTTGAGCGGAAATAGTAAATTACGCTATTTTCTATTTCTCAAAAATCCTATGTGAATTTATAACGTACTAATAATATCCCGCACTATTATGCACATTTTGTTAGGCGTTCACTTGGTATGCAATTCTTTTTCCTATGAGATTATATTCTACTAGAAGACCCGCGGCGTAACATACGCCGATATTTAGTGACCCAAGGCTTCCTGATAAACACAGTTGTTCAAAAAGGGTGGGTTTTGGCAAACTACTGTGAGTGAATGAAAGGATGATACTCTGGAGAGAGCAACATATAATTGTCCATGCGTGAAAACAGGTTTTGGAAGATACAGCCATATCTTTTTTTAATGTTTAGCCATGTGCTTTATTAATTGTCATGGCAAAGGCTTATCTGACAGGGAATTGTCTGTGCGTAAATATAAAAGACAAATTTGAGTCTGATGAAGTCAGGGATATCCGGGGAATAAGGACAGTTTGTGAGGTAGAAGCTGCGATAGCTTTACACTCCAGTACGTTGCGGTGAATGCTGGTAACAGTCAGTCTAGTGCCATTACAAATACCTTTTGCTGGCATGAGGTTTCTAAGAAGCATGACAACTGAACCAATTTTAATTTTTAAGCTTATGCGTAGGCATGCCAGTAGGTGTAAGACTTCAGAAATTCTACGGGGAATGTAAGTTCATCTGCGGGATCGTCTGTTACGATTGAGTCAACGTCGTCGGTTGGGATAAATTTCAATACTTATTCATTTAGGTGAGAGAGTCTTCGTTCGTGACACTTAATATAGCTCGCGTACTGAGTTGTTCCGAAGTGACAGTTGAGAAGTCGAGGTCGCCATATAGTTGTTGAACGGGATCAGAATGAAGAGGGAAAGAATTTGACGGTAATGTTACAGGTGTTCCAATCGTCCCGTCTGCAACATCGAGAAGCCCTTTTGCAAAATGATTTTCGTCAGGAAGAGCTCTCATATTTGTCGTCAGTGTAAGTACATGCATGTGACGCAACAAAAGTTGCTTGTTAATGCAACTGGCGATAATAAGTTCTCGGGAGCCACGCAGAATGACGGGGAGTATTTGTCGGAAATCTCCACCCAATAGTATTGTTTCCCTCCAAATGGGTACGTCTCACCAGTGAGATCACGTAACAACCTGTCGACTGCCTGAAAAGCGTATGCATGTGTCATTGGCGCCTCGTCCCATATAATCATTTTGGATTGCGGAATATGTTGCACGTGTTGCAAGATAAGCTTGATATTGCTAGTGGTAGTAGGAGTGAGCTTCAACGGGATTTTAAATATCGAATGTGCAGTACGTCCACCCGGTAACAATGTTGCAGCTATTCCTGTAGATGCAACGGTTATAGGAATGTCTCCCCTGGCTCTGATGGTACGGATAAGGGTTTTATAAACAAAGGCTACTTTCATGGGGGGGAGGGGCAAGCGAAACTGTGTGTCCTCAGTTGCTTTGGTAGCTCCTACAGTCGTTTGTCCCCGAAGCATTGTTTTGATTTTGCCCCTTTGATTTTGCCCCTTTGTTTCCCAACCATTACCACCGCTTCACATATATATTTTGTGGAGTCAGCATGTCTTTTCATGTAGTTGAAATTCCTTCATCAGGTTATTGTTTATTCCTATCAGTCGCATATTTCTGGAAAATTTCATTGACGAAACTGTTGCTCTTGAACTTCGCAAGATGGCTGTAAGCTTTGTTTGCGAACATTGGGACAACTATGGCGACGCCCTGTCCGTTGTTCTTACTCACGGAGCACAGTCATACACTCTGCTCAACAATACGCTGCCTATGTGAATACTTCCGGCGTTTATGGTGGCCAGGTTGAAATTGTGGCGATGTCTCAAATACTTCCCACTACTATTGCTATTTACTTTCAAGAACGTCCACATGACCTTCCTCGAGTTTACAATCCGGGGCAACGTCTCTCCATATCCCTGCTATTTAGCGGTCCTTTTGATCATGGTCATTATGAAGTTCTCTTGCCTTTCACAAACACACGTGATGACCTTCTGGTGCCATCTGTTGACAACGTCGGCATGTGCACCAACATTAAGCACCCATGTGATCTCCACACTGATGTGACGTCACCTTCCCATTCTGCTGTTACTGATGAACATTTACAAACGCCGGGTTTTCATTGCAACATTTGCTCAAAACAGTTCACACGAAACAATAATCTTAAAGCACATTTAGAAGCACACCTCAGTCAACAAACGAATTCCACAGAGGACTTTAAATGCACCATATGTTCCAAAACCTTTCGACTACAGAGTTATCTCAAAGCACATTTAAAAACACACTCCACTGAACGAATGATGCAATGTGAATATTGCCAGCAATGCTTCAAAACAACTAGCACTCTTATAAAGAACTTAAAACTAAACATGTACATGTAGAAACACATTTAACAACATTTCTATTCAGTATTTGCGAAAAACGGTTTCTCGCATGCAAATATCTTATTAAACATTTGAAAACTCATGCCCTAACGAAATCCTTCTTTGAGTGTGTATATTGAAAACGTTCTTTCAAACAGTCGCATCTTCTCGCAAGCCACATGCACATTCATCACATTCAACTTTCCGCTGCGTTTCAAGATTACACCGCCATTTCCATCGAAGAACATGACATTGGACTACCTACCGCACTATGTACTTCTTGCAATGCTCTTCATTGGCCATTAGAGATAAACAAATCCGGTCATTACACTAAGTTTTGTCATAACGGCAAAGTGTCTTTGACACCGCTATCCCAAACTCCTACTTTATTATAAAACCTCTTTAGAGGCAAGACTCCGCTGTCCCGACATTTGTGTGATCACATCAGGGAATATAACTCTGCTTTAGCTTTCGCATCAATGGGCGCCCACATTGCTCAACCACCAGGCCATGGACCTTATGCATTCCGAATCCACGGTCAAATTTATCTCAAAGTCAATCCTTTGTACACCAATCCTAACACGACCCCTCGATAGGTCAACTATATATCTTCGATTCGACCCGCGGCATATCATATGCCAATATTTAGTTGTTTTATTTTCTACTTTTTAGTAATCTACGCTATCAGTAGGTCGTTAGGGACGAACCCCCACCCCCTCGTTCTCCCAACACCTATCCCACCCCCACACCTCCCCCCCCCCGTGAAAGCAGTCTCCTCTTTGTTACCTCCTCTAAGTTTAAAATAGTTTCAAACTAAATTATCTGCCCCTAAACCCGGCCCTAGAATTGTAAACATTTGGCGTGCACCACGGCTTACCAGACCATGTGGGGGTGGGGTGGTAAGGATATGCCTAGAGAGGAAGAGAGGGGACTGCTAGGCGCGCTTACAGCTTGTTGTTTTCTAGGGTCTCCAAGAAGAGGATTACATATATATATATATATATATATATATATATATATATATATATATATATATAGATAGATAGATAGATAGATAGATAGATTATAAAAAGTTTAAGTAATTAATAATGGATTTAAAATATTGTCTATATCCCGAGTCTCAATGCCCTGTAGTGTTGTATAAGAATATTCGAGAAAGTTTGATATAATACTTATATATGAAATTTCATCAACCTATCGTATACGAGAAAGTAAAAACAAAAAAAAAAAACTCATAAAAAACGTTTTAATAACAAGCTTTTATGTACTAATCCACTAAAAAGTAGAAAATAAATTATAGTCTACTATTTAAATTGCTATAAAGAAAAGCGTTGGTCACTTTAGTACCTATTGGATACCTTTACTAATATTTGAGAAGAGACCCACGCTTTTCTTTATAGTAATTTAAATAGTAGTCTATAATTTATTTTCTACTTTTTAGTGCATTAGTACATAAAAGCTTGTTATTAAAACGTTTTTATGAATTTTTTTTCAGTACTTTACATGTTTTATTTACAATAGAGTTACATGACTAAAAACCATTGCGCGCCTACTGAACGTGATGGCGCAGCCATTGAACGTACCGTGATGGCGCAGCTATTTAATGTGATGACGCGTGTGGTGTGGTTGGATAGACATGCCTACTAATTCGATCCAAATTTAAATTAATTCATAAAAAATGAATTAGGCATCCAATTAAGTCAAATTTAATTTCATATTGCATTGTCTTCATGTCTTGACACACGTGTCAAATGTGAATCGTATCGGTCAAGTAGAAGTGACCGAATTTTCACTCCTGCGTTTCGGTCTAGACTGACGACTGACGAGAAAGTGAGTTAAATAAAAGCTTGTAATAAACCAAGACTACGTCATTTGTTCAATGTACAGAGGAGGTAACTTTTTAAAGGGATAATTTCTAAATAATTTTTTATACTATTTTAAACAAAAAACGGAAATCAGAAAATATAACATTTATTTAAATAAACATTTCTTTATAAATTAAGATATTTATTGTATTAAAAATGTTCAATTTAAATGCAAACGTAAATTTAATATAATATTTGATTTATATTATTAAGAAAGCCTTTGCAGTTCTAAAACTTTGCGAGTAAATAAGTTTGCGAATATTCTACCAACGCTTGTATGTCAAAAAATGATTCAAACTGTAATTATTTACAGCTAATCACCATAAATGCCGGTTTTTTTTGCAACCTATTTAAAAAAATAAATCACCATAAATTCTGAGTTTGTCAGTTATTGTTATGTCTATTTGATAGTTATCTACACCTTTCAATTTACCTATACCCATTACTTTTGATTTTTCTGAGTTTATTTTTTCCCCCGCTTCCTTTCCCAAAGTTGTTGAATTTTTCTATTACAGTCGGTATTGCTTTTTCTGTTTGTACTAAGAAAGTAGTGTCGTCTGCGTATTCAAGTATGTTCTTGCCTACCGTGTTTGGAATGTACAGTCCTTTAATCGAGTTGTCCTGTCTAATGTTTTGTAGTAGAGGTTCTAAGCTAAGATTGTATAGTAAGGGAGATAAAGGACAACCTTGTCTAACTGATTTGTGTATGTGAAAAGCGCTTGTAACACTGTTGTTTATTAATAAATGACTATATACATTGTTATATATTATTTTTATCCATGTTTTAAAATAGTGTCCTAGGTTGTAAGCATCTTTTGTTTTTATTAACCATGTATGATCTACTCTATCGAAAGCTTTCTGTTGGTCGACACAAAGAATTGCTAGGTGTGTGTCTTTCTGCGTGTTATAATGTATGTCTCTGATTAAGTGCGTGCGGTTGTGTTTGTTTCTACCTGGTATGCTATAATGATGATCAGGGTGTATTAATTTAGACATGAAATTTCGAGTTTATCGACAAAAGTAGAAATTTCACTAACTTCGCTAACTATACTATACATATCTGGTGATATTTGAGTCGCCAGCCGTCTAACGGTAGAGTAGGCCTATCGCTAAAATGGGTACAAGCCTACCGGTCAGAATATTATTCAGGAGTTAAATATAGTATATTGGGAAAACGTAATTGTACAGTGCATACTGCACTAAGACTTTTACGTTTAAACCACAGAAACAGTTCTGTTAAACCAAGATTGTCCACGTATGTCTGCAATCGCGAGATGACTAACGCATAACTGTGCTCGCATGGTCGAAGATTGCATCTTCTGTTCTGTACTAGGTGCAATGCT